TGCTAAGCACCTTATGCATCTTCCTATTAAACCAAGAAAACCAAAGAAGCAACAGAGCCCCCACAAGTCTCCCTGACTCCAATGCTCCACCACTCACACTTCTGGAATAATTCTGGACAGATATGGGCAACAGTCATGCTAAAAATCCCATAGATCTAAACAGGATGTCTTAGGGCATCTACTAAGTGCTTAGCAGACTAACAGTCCTTTTAAAGAAAAAAATAATTACCCTCCTTTCTGGCACACTGCTGAAAGAAGGGATGGTTCTTCACTGGGGAGAATGCAAATCAGGTTCTTAGGCCTGAACAGTGAACTCAGCTCTGCCCCCCTCCCCTCCAATCCCAAGCCCTTGGAACCCTCTCTAATTAGCACTGCAGAAGTCTGGTACTTTGGGCAGAGAGCTCAACCATAAACTGATTAGTATCCAACTCTTGCCAAAGGCTCGTTTAAGACATCTGATAGCAGAGAGAGATGGCTTAATGTGCAGATTAACTGGCCATTCCGCTCAGCTCTCTACGTTTTAGCCATACACTAAATTGGATCAACACAAAGCAACATTTGTTTCCTGAAGCAATTCAAGTTCTCGAGAGAAACTCCTTTCCACACTGACAACTCACGCCCTCAGCTCATAGCGAGTGTGGATATAAGAAACAATCCATTTGAACAGTCACTGAAGGCCTTTGCTAAAAGAACAGTTACGAGCACTGTCCACTAAATTATCCACTGCCCCCGAAATGAAAGAGCATGGGATAAATCCTGTGCCAAGAAAAAGTTTGCCTCTCTGAAGGAGTTTATGTTTTCTTTCCTCGGAGAACTGGATAATCACATCTCTTTTTGTCTCAATTTCAAAACTCACAAACTCAGTGCTCAATTGCAACAACTAATTCATCCCAACCTCCTGCACGATCTATTCTTAGATTCTCTTTGCCCCTTTTGATCTTGATTATATTTTTTATGTCTGCCGCTTTGTTCTTCATTTTGCAAACCAACTTATATCTTTTCTTCCTTCAAAGGCGGACACAAATCCTAGCAAAAGGCCTTTTTCTCACCTTCAAAAAAAAAAAAAAAAAAAAAAATCAGCCAGATTCCTCCCATCCTGCTACAAAGGATCCTTGACTTTTCAGACCATCGATAATATCAGGCCTGTGTAACACTGAGACTACCCCATCAGTTCCCACCCCCCTCATCAACCAGCACAACAGATCCAAGATTGAGAACAGGACCAGTTCATCTTTAAGACTAGACGATGGCCATCTCAGGCAGCGAAACTGATTCTCAAAGCCAAAGATGCTCCCCACATACGGTGACAATATCTTAGGGAAGACTCAACTCGGCCATCATTCTAAGCCATTCCCAAACAAGAAGCAAGAATTGGCCACTGGGGAAGAGTCCGTTTTCCAAAGATGGTCAATAGCACACCCCACCTGACCATCACGTGAATATAAGTCCTCAATCAGTGCCTGGGAAAAGTAAGTGTTCGGTAAATGGGAATTGTAATTCCTAACATGGCAAGTGCAAAACTGAGTGTGGTGTCATATCTGCACAGGAATCCAACTTTCTTAAGAATGCCCCTGTGAGCTGGGTGGTGGTGACGCACACCTTTAGTCCCGGCACTTGGGAGGCAGAAGCAGGCGGATCTCTGTGAGTTCGAAGCCAGCCTGGTCTACAGAGTGGGTGATTTCCAATACAGCCAGGGCAGTTACACAGAGAAACCTAGTCGCAAAAAAACAAAAAAGAGAGAGAGAGAGAGAGGAGTGAGAGGAGAGAGAGGAGAGAGGGGAGAGAGAGAGAAGAGAGGGGGGAGGGGGGGGAGAGAGAGAGAGAGGAGAGAGAGGGGAGAGAGGGGAGAGAGAGGAGAGAGAGAATGAGAAGAGAGAGAGAGAGAGAGAGAGAGAGAGAGAGAGAGAGAGAATATGCTTTTGTGGAAACAACCTAGGATGATCACTTAGCAGGTCATCTATCTTCCTGGCTTTTTGGGGGGTCACATCTTCATTATCCTATACAGGCTCCCAGTTGTATTTGATGGAATGCACAAACTACATTTCTAGAGACAACATTTAAGGTCAGCTGGTTGCCTCTGTTTCTGGGCAGAGAATGCAGTCTGCAGACTATGACTAAAGGCCTGTGGCTGTACTCGGGGCTGCCTGTGACTAGAGGCCTGTACTTGGGGCTTGAATCGCCTCCCGACAAGTGTCCAAGTAGCTGCAAAGCATGAGTCATAGACAGGGAAGAGGGTGAAGACTTAAGAGGAAGAAAGAATAACACAGTTGTTTTTCATAGTATTTGCACTCCTGGTGAGTTCACATGTGCACAAGGGTCTCTGGGTATTCTAAGCCATGGCTATACCTGCATACAATTCTGGTTTATATATACATGAGTTTTATATTATCTGTACACTGGGGCTGGCATTTTCTCCCACTCAGCCAATATTGATCGAGCGCCTATTTGGTGTAAGGCACAGGAAGGTAGGGGCTCTACTGGAGTTCTACTCACTGGAGATAATGCACCGATAACTTTCACAATGGCGCTGGCACTCTTCAGGGAAACAGATGACAGGATCCTTGGGATAATAAAGGAGTCTTTCCCACAGTTTAGCCTCTTTATTTCTCCTCAATCTCTGGAGAACACGTCACCAACAAATCCCTTCCAGTTACAAAGCCCATTCCCTCCCAGAGCTTGCCCCTGATGTCTGACAGTGCCTGTACTTCCCCCAGGGTATGTGGGATCAATACAGCAGGACTTCAAAGAAGCCCTCGAATTGAAGTGCAGGCAGAATTTTCAAAAAAAAAAAAAAAATTCCTGGAGCTAGGATTCAGAAGTTGGAGGGGAAAGGAGGGGGGGAGAAAGCTGAAATGGGAATTTGACAGCACCACACAATGCACTAGGATCAGAGCTGTGAGACAGATTCAACTCCAGAGATGAAAACTCTTCTCTCAGTGCTGACAACATCTGTTTTATTTTGAAGGTTGCTAAGGAGCGTCCTAGCTGGGCCAGCATTGTTCCAGCTCAGGACTTCACAGTGCGTCTCGCACGGGCTTCTGACTGCACGAATGAAAGCTCTCCAGATAAGCCTGCTCCTTTTGCTTTCCAGATATCAAAGCACCATTTTGCTCTGGGGGCTGCCTGACACCCCCACATCCCACTCACCCCTGTCTCAGCTCTGACTGGACTTTCCCTACTGCTTATTCTCTAAGGAGTCTTCCCCCTGTACCCAGTTCCCACTTGCCAAGTTCCCATCTATGCCAAAGAGAGGCTTATTGAGGACAGACAGGCAGGGAGCTCACCCTTTAGTCAAATCTTCTCTAGGAAGATAGATATCTTCTCTGTGGAAGATAGAGAAGAACTACCTAGCAGTTGACGTGCACATGCCAGAGGAGGTTTAGCATCAGGCAGAGGGGAAAGTCATTTCCTGGCCTTTAAAGATCTATGCTGCCTCCTTAATCAAAGAAAAATCAAATGCCTTGGTCAGGCCCAAAGTGCTGTAAAACAGACGAGCTGACCACAGGCCTGTCCACTGGGGAAATGATGCAGGTAGGAAGCCAGGGGAGCCAGCCATACCCCACAGGCCCATCCCTCCCAAGCTGAATAGCGATGAACAACTGAGGGGCTAGTACACACTCCTCCCAGTGGAAAGACACACAGGAAAAAAAAGAGATGAGGAAAAAGGACAGGACGCTACAGGAAATAGAGTTAAAGCCAATCAAGGCATACGAGGAAGACACAGCGGGAATCACACATAAGACAGCAATCACAGTAAGACAAGGCAAAAACACGTAAGACAAGGTGAAGACACAGCAGGAACCACAGGCATGACAAAGTGAGGACAGCAGAGAGCACACATGTGACAAAGTGAGGATAGCAGAGAGCACACATGGTAAAGTTAGGGACAGCAGGGAGCACATGCATTATAAAGAAAGGACTTATCAGAGAGCACACACATGACAAAGTAAGGACACTAGGGAGGCATTTGTATGTGCACAGAAAATAAAGTGATAGCCAGGAGAACATGGATGATACAATGAGGGCAGCAGGGAGCACACGTGATAAAACGAGGGCTTGTCAGGGAGCACACATGATAAAATGAGGGCTTGTCAGGGAGCACATGTGATAAAATGAGGGCTTGTCAGGGAGCACACGTGATAAAATGAAGGCTTGTCAGGGAGCACACATGATAAAATGAGGACCTGTCAGGGAGCACACATGATAAAGTAAGCACTCTCCAGGACGCACATACATAATGAAAGAGGACTTACCTGGGAGCACACATGTGATAAGGTGAGGAGCACAAACATAATACAGTGAGGAATCCCCAGGGAGCACATACATTATAAGTGAGCACTCTCCAAGAAGCACACACGATGACAAGATGAGGGTACATCAGTTGACATACGACAAGATAGAACATGACCACAATCACATATGTGATAAGGGAAGGGCACTCCAGGGATCACATACATGACAAATGGGGTAGGTGATACTCTGTTCCTCCACCAAGGGAGCAGCACCTGGTCTGAGAGCCTGAGGAGAGAGAGAGAGAGGGAGGTGGGTGGCCCCTACTTAAATGGCATGTGCAGATAAAACCACTGTCGGCTTCTGGGGTAGAAGACATTCTCGTTAGCTGGAAGAGGTGACTGCTCTTTCTTACTGCCTGCCCTTCAGGAAGTACTAGCCCAGGACAGAAATGCCTAGGGGTCTAAGTAAGAAGAAAAGAATGGCTATCTCTCCACTCAACAAAGAGCCACTGAGCTCAGCTCTCATAGGCAGGTAGGTGACTCTCACCAACAAAGGAACCCACATTCTCCAGCAAGGGCCCTGGAACAAACATCACCTATGCTTTTCCTTGCTGGCCAGACCTTTTCAGCCCGTCATGCTTCCCTCCAGCCTGGGAGCTGGGGAGCTCAAGGACACTTGTCTGATCCAAACATCTAAATGAGGCACAATGCCCAGCATACCACAGACTTCCTGAGTGCACAGGAAGGATTAAACAGACAACTACTCACCTAGCCAGGTCACGCTTACACTGGATGGGGCAGACATGGCCTCTGCCACCTTGTGCCAGCTCCTGTTATGTCCAGGAGCCCAGAGGGCCACAAGGCAAAGGTAGTAGCCAGAGTTTTCTTTGCTAGCATCTCGCACCAGCAGATGGTAGGAGCGGGTATCCACATGACTGAGAGCAACGTGTGGTGAGCTGTGTACCAGGGAGTCACGGTCCAGCCGAGCCAGCATGTGGGAGGCAAGCAAGGAGGCATCAGGTGTCTTTTTGAAGTACCATGTCACCTCGGGTCGAACATCATCCACACGGTCTGTTGTGATGTTGCATGAAAGGTCCAGGTCCTTTCCTTCAGTCACAGACACAGTCCTGGGCACAGCCAATTGCAGAGCTAGAAGAGGAAAAACAAGTCCGTCAAGTGATCGAGTGGTTTGCCCTTTCTAGACCCTCCTTTCTCCTTACCACCCTCTAGATCACCTCCTTTTAAGCTGATTTATAGTGTTAAAATTAGAAGGCTTTGTGCAGTTGAAAGTACTTGAGGAATAGTTAATGAATAAATTCATGACACACACTAAATTGGTTTTGGAAAAGAGAAGCAATGAACACCAGCAAACACTTTATCACTTTCATGTACTTACTGTACGTTAATTCTGAAAATAACAATATGAGGTGGATACTACTATGGTCATTTTATTGATATGGAGGCTGAAGCAGAGTAGCTCCATGGTAGAGCCCTCCCCTAGCATCCCTGGCTCCAGCACCGTGAGGGTAGGATGGAAAATCCTATACAGATGAGCCAGGAAAGTGAAACCAGACAATTCTTGTGAGTCAGTCCTTGACAATGTGTTGTACATAGACTATCGTTTCATTAGACATGCCCAGCTGAAAGTCAAGCATGAGACATGCTGTAAACCCAAACCCAATGAGTTTTGCATTTTCCATGCTACCATCCTCTCATGACTATGGACAATTAAAAGTAAGCTAAAATTAGGGGAAGCCTTGAAATATTGGGTGTCACAGGCTCAAAGAAGGTCTTGCTCAGCATTCCATTGTCAAAGCTTTTAAATGGAAATATTTTTACCCTATTCAGGGGGTTTTTAAGATGTCAAACATCTGAAATCAGAGTGGAAAAATTCAAGTTACAATGATACTCTGGGAACTGTCACTAAATGACAGACAGCCAACTTCTCCCAGTAGAGTCCCCACTTTCTAGCATAACCCATTCAGCACCCACTGCTGTTCCCAGGAAGCTCAGGGACAAAGGCTTGTGCCCAGTTCAGAAAACCACCAAACTCAAGAGCCCATGCCCTCCATCAGATACTGCTTCCACATGAATTTGGAATGATTTGGAATAATTCCAAATCTTGACAATGTTTCAAACAAGTATTTCAAGCCAAGTTCAACATCCATCCCAACACATGACAGAAAACAAGGTGGACACAGATTAGGGAAAAGAGTTTGAAAGTCTGGTTTGTCCTTATCTTTCTCCTCTATAAGATCAAGAAACGTATTCCTAGGGTCCAGACATATTGGCAGCAATGTCTTTTCAGCTGTGTAGTCCACTTTGCCATTTTATTTTTTTGATAAAAGTGGTTAAATATCTGTCCTATCAGTAACCATGCGTCCCAGTATTCCAGATTTAAGGGTCTGGCAATGGGAGATGAAATAGAGCTGGTGATTGGGGGAGGGAGGGTTCCTAAGAATTCAAGATGCAAGAGGAGATCTGGGCAAAGCCTGTGGCATTCCAGGTTTTCTCTTGTAGAATATTGCTAAATCTTCAAGTTACATACTAAGATTTGTATCACCAGCCACTCCCACCATAGGGAAGACCTACCTACCACATGGATGACACAGCTATCTAAGTGGTTCTGTGTCATTTACAACACCACTGTGGTCACAGAGCACGAGCAGGTACCTGTGACCGGTGCACAGACTGAGAATAAGCAAAAGACCATCCCTTGGCTGGATATGGTGGGACATGTATGCTATCCCAGCACTTGAGACAGGGGCAGGCAAACCTCTATGAGTTCAAGGTAAGTCTGTAAGTTTCAAGCCAGTAGGACCCTGTCTAAAAACATAAATAAATAGACAAAGAGGGCTGTGAGAATGGAGGGAAAGAGGAAGGAGGAGAGGGAAGGGGGGAATCATATACAATCAAGCTCACAGCCCCCAAGCACAGGGATTCTTAACTTGCAATGCACAGAGAACTTAGGGAGCCTGGGCATGTGGATGGGCAAACTCATCCCTATTTTTATTTTCATTAGCCTTAGCTGATAAACTACAAATCCTCCCTTTGTAAGTAAGGATCAAGGCAGTATAGTAGGTAGGGCCTATAGCTGGGGTTTGGTCCTCAACAGAAGCAACAGATCTTCATACATCACTTTACAGGAGTTGTAGACATCTAAAACATTATTTACATTCACTGCTCCCTAGATATTATGATGGTTGTTAGGCCTGCCAATATGGCTTATTATTCATGTGTTAATAATGAAGTATAATTTAGTATAAAACAAATGTGTTTTAAAGATATTTTGATAACTACTTCAGTATAATTTTTTCCGTGTTACCTTATATATTATGTTTCATGAATTAAGAGAGGTATGGGCTTCAAAAGACTGTCAAAGAGACACATCACACATGAAAAGATCACAAGGTCAAGCATGCTGGTGCAAGCCTGTAATCCTAGCTATTCTGGATGCTGAGGCTGGAAGAGCACAAGTTCAAGGCCAGTTGGAGTCACTTAGCAAGGTTCCACCCCAAAATAAAAAGGGCAATATAGCTAAGCAATAGGTGCTTGCCTAGCAAGTGGGAGGCCCTGGGCTCAACACCAGAGAAGATGGTGAAGCCTCAGCCTCAGGATGCAGCTGCTATGACCGAGTCTTGAATCCTAATCATGTAATGAGATGCTATGGGTTTGTGGTATGTTTGAAACATGCCCCTCCTTTCTGATTGAAATTCCTCCATTAAATGGTGAATTTGCTGCCAAGCTAAGCTCTTAGTCTGCTTGCCTCATTAAAGCAGTTGCTTGGTGCACACTGAGATTTCCTATGGCAGATTCCAGACAATCACTTTGGCTACAGAAGATGACCTTAGACCACCTGGGAAGTCATTTCTGTAGCCAACGGAGCCTAGGTCCATGGTAGTGGCCATGCCTCAGCTGCCACAAGCCACTTGTGAACATATTCACACCCATGTTCAGGTGCAGGAATGCTGCCCAGAACCATGCAAGTTGCAAAACAATCACTGGTTATAGCTTCTCCCTTTCCTTCCCAGGAACAGAGCAGGCCACACACTCACATTCCTGAGCAGGGAATGAATCCAGCCAAGGTCTCCCAGGAGGCAGGGGAGACAGTTATCTGAAGATGTTAGACTCCTAGACAACCAGGCATACCCAGCTATCCCTGGCAGTGACATTGACCTGCAATGGTTTCTTTGTACTCTGTCCTTACTGAGGCTTCAGGCTCTAGTGACTGGGATAGAGCCTGCAGTAGCTCTGAGCCCAGGGCCCAAAACAGTGCTGAAATCAGTAGGCCCTCTACCAATGCTTATTGAAGAGTAAGTCAATAATGGTTTTCTCTCGCTTTTCTTCTGTTTTTGTAGACTTCCTAGTATGTCCTTTCTATCTTGTTTCTGTAGCTGGGGATTCTAAAAGGGGGCGTTTTGGCAAATTATAGGACAAAAATTCATTGATATGGACCATGGCTGGACTTTCTGGAGTATGTATGGCATAGGAAGCAAGAAGAAACCTGATCCGTGGGGAGTGTGTCACCTGATGAGGGGGGAAAGGCAGGTTCAGGGGGTGCACATTAGCAAGAGGTTTAGAGTCAGCTTCGTGTGCATACACACACACACACACACACACACACACACACACACCTACCTACCTACCAGTGTGTGTGTTGGGAGGCAGGGGACACACCCAAGGAATAAAGGAAATAGTAAACAAGAAAAGCTAAAGCAGCAGGTATGAGCGAATCCAACCACACCAGGTGGGTCCTGACAGGACATCATTCTTAACCTCTGAGTCAGACCTATACAAGATAAGCAACATCAGACAGCAGAAAAGCAGAACTCTAGTACTGGCACACAGCTCAAAGCAGAGGTACCCTTCCCCAAGCTACCAATGCCACTCTGCTCCCCATACCCAACAAGAGGAATCGGGTCAGTCCTTTTCTGATCTAGTCCTATACATGGTCACTGGTTCCAATCAGTGAGACACATTTTCAAAACCTCACCTGTCGGCTGAATCACCACGGTGGCCACCTCCACAGCTTTTTCTTGGATTTCTTGCCAGTTGCCTTGCTCTGTGATCCACTCGCTGACCACACACCTGTAGGAACCCTGGTCTGCAGAGAGCGCCCGGGCCACGGAGAGGCGGTAGGCATCACTGCCCGCTGTGTCCAGACGTACATCCCCACTGTGGTAGCGCTGCTCATAGCCAGGGCCTGGGTGAAACCTGCCCTCATGGCTTAGGGCTAGGATGCTGCGGTGTACTGGACCACGGTGCAGTTCCCACCGAAGTGCCAGGTGAGTATGCAATGGTGACATGGTAGATGTGATACATCGCAGCTCAAAGGGTTCCCCCTCACGCAGGCTCAGGCCTGGAGGAGGCCGAGAGCTGGGGCCCACCACCAGGGCATCTGCCAGCACTGTGAAGGACAGAGGGAAGACATCAGTCAGTAGTCGCCATTGGTCCTACCCCATAACTAAAGAATAGGCTACTTTCCATGACTCTGGCCTTGAGCCGTGGCAGCTACTCAAGGATTCCTCATTCCATTTCTGGTTCTAAAGCAAGTCATCTATTCTGATCCACCCACTATCTCAACTAACTTTCTGACTTGAACAAACAAAAGGAAAAATGAGACAATAATAAAACTCCATCCACCTAAATGGGTTTGTGAGTGCTTCTGTCACCATGATGGAGGTTTAACTTTGCTCTCTGTGCCTTAGTTTCCTGGAAAGGAAGATGACTGTCCTCACTTCACAGAGCCAACAAGAGTCCAGTGAGTGCCAGGATAGTGCCTGGCACCAGGATGAAATAGATTGGCGTGATGTTCAAGCAATCCTTTGGTTAGAACACAGGGCTGGAGGAGGGGACCTGCAATCTAGAGACAAGGGAACTGCCAAGACTCAAGATCTCCAGGGAGAGGTGATGGCAGGAGCTGCCTGTGGATCACATCCTGGATAGGGTATATCCACAGGACAGGAAGGAGCCAAGAAATGCTGAAGGTTCTGCTGCTAATTCTCAGCACCAATGGGAAGAGGCCACTGCTAGTCTAGAAAAGAGGGTGGGTCCAGGAAACGTGACAGTGACAGATGCTGGTGATCTGGTAAGAGTCCACCAAGGGCTGGAAAAATCTTCCAAGCTCACCAGGAGCTACATATGTGGCTTTTCAAGCATCACAATTACTCCAGATACCAGGAACATTACTCCTTTAGAAGAACACTTCCCATAGGCCCATCTCTTCTACAAAACTATTGTAATGGACTTCCAGTACATACAGCAATCTGTGAGTATGGCTGCCATGGCTTCATTCTCAAGGCCAGTTCCTCACTGGGGCAGCTACAAGACCCATGAAGCTGAAGGCCAGACAGATAGATGCTGGACCACATCTAGCTCCTGCCAGAGACTCCACCTGGGCAGTCAGCCAGCCTCTCTCACACTATCCTTCTGCTCCCCTGAGCCAAGAAAAGCCTCCCCTTGCTTCTCTTGCCTACAAAGACTAGTGAAGAAATGGGCAGATGCTAGGGAGGGCTGGGGGCTTGTCACCCTCCACTTCTCACAATAAATCACAAGAGTGTACCTGACCTGAGGGGAGGGGTGATTTGTTGTACTGTTTAACTTAGTGCAAAAATGTCTTATGGGAAATCTTAAAAGGAAAAAAAAAAAAAAAACCCAAAACTCAGACCCCCGCCCGCCCCCCATGCCCCTTCTACAAGCCAGATCCAGAGCCCTGCATATCTAGGCAATTAATTACTCTACCACTGAACTTCCGAGTTTCCTATGCCCCAATCCCTAACCCCCAGATGGAGTCTTCTACATAGCTCAAGATAGCTCTGAACTCACTATATAGTTCACCCAGACTAGCCTCAAACTTTCAATCCTCCTGCCTCATCTTCACAGGTGCTAAGTTTCTAGGCGTGTGCCACCATACCCATAAAAAGGTATGTATACACCATAAAAAATGGTGTATGGCTTTTATGGGAAGATGGAAGAGGTAAATTTGTTGGCTTAATGCTTTGGTTCCTACCTGACAGACATGGCTGCCATTTCATCCCCTCATGGTTTGGTAAGGGAACAACAGCTGAGCAAAAGCAGTTTCTACCAACCATGACAAAGGGATGGGTACCTGGATTAGCCCACTCCTTTTCTATCATTATTTTCTACTTTCCAGGTAATTATATACACTCCTGCCCTGATACAAATATTTTCAGAAACAAGGCAGGGCACAAATAAATGTACAATTAATAATAACAATAATAATGTTTCTGTTTTGTTAGCCTCAAATTAAATAGCTTCTTCTTGCTCATTCACTAATGAGCCATGTCATTTTAAGCAAGTAATTAACCTATGCACTTCTTCTATATCATGTGTAAATTAGGGAAATAGCCTGTCCTATCTTTTTCATTGGATTCAGATAACTGAATATGTGAACAAATCCAACAGCACTTAGAAGGCAAGGAAAACCCAAACTCAAGATATTCCAGATGACCATGATGTCAACTTTGCACAGCAGGGTTCATAAAACAACAGTAACCATGTGGTTTTCTCATCTGTAAACAGCAAGTACAACTTCTGACACAAACAGATATTAACTCATAAATGTCCCAGAGAAAAGGACATGAACTTTGAAGCACCTATTTCTCCCATAAAACCGAACCTCATAGTCATGCCTTCCAGCTTGCCTTGAAGCTGAATACTTGCTATGACACAGTTGGAGAGGCCTGGCATGGGTTAGCTCTCCTGTCCCCATGCCTTTTAAGGCAGGCTCTGTTGGACAGAGGGAGCTGAGGCATGGACTGAGCCAGGAGTCCTTTAGCTGACAAACAGCAGAGCCAGGAGTCGACTGCACAGGCAAGCTGGCTCCAGAGTGGGGCTCTCACAGGTGACTACACCATGGTGCCTACAATTCACTGGCCCTCTGATGCATCAGAATTACATTGGGAAAGGAGAAGGGCTCCCAGGAGTCACTTGGTCCACCTTCTGCCTGTCCTCAGGTAAGACATCACCACTGTGATGGACAGGGGCACTGAGTCTCTTTGCAGCAGCAGAGACAGAGGAAGATCTGGGCCCTGTGTGAGCTGTACCTTTAACCTGCACTGTGTCTTCATAGTTGCCCTGGACAGTGGCGTCTGTGCTCGGGGTTGAGCACTTGTAGTGGCCTTGGTCTGAGGGCTGGACATTCTTTATGTGCAGTTCTACAGCATCATTGGCGGTTCTCCTCAACAGAATGTCGCCCCGTTGCAGCCGCTCCCGGTACAGCTGTGCTGGGAAGCCCGGCTCCCAGGTGCTGGCGAGCTCCAAGAAGCTGCTCCCCGAAGATGAGAAGCTCCAGTCAAAGTTCTGCTCAATGGGGCCATCGTAGTCGCTGACATTGCAGGGGATCACCAGCTCGGTGCCCACCACCCGAACCAGGCTGCCCGAAGGGACTCTCACCACACGCCCTCGACAGACAGCTGTAACGACAGGAAATGAAAGGTGGACCTTTAACTGGGGAAGGCCTTCTTAGTATGACAGTGACATGTGAAGGATGCTCCTGCTCGGGGTCCCAAGGGCAGATGTGGCATCTGAATATCTAAGAAAATGAGGATTAAGCCATTCCTGAAATTATGGGTTGGAAGTAACACTTTGAAATGACTGCCTTCCACACCACGAGTCTCCCAGGGGTGACAGGCAGACTAAATATGAAAAGTAGGCTAACCATGGCCTCAAATAGCTTTGTGTCTTCTGTTACCATTTAACATACCATTATCATGCAATGAGATATGGAAAGTTTCTGTGTGAAAGAAAAGGACACAGATCAGCACATATTTACATTCCTGCCCATCCCACATCAACCTTCATCCCTAGAGACCATGCCCAAGACCTGATTTATAATGATGGATGCCAATTTTCAAATCCCCGGGCAGTCTGCTGATAAAATGATTTAACTCCTGTTATCTGACATTGGTTATAAATTATTTTTAAAATATGACAATTCCACCAAGTATTAATTTTCTATTTTCTGGCTCATTTCCTTCTCTCTACTCTTCACTCTGATCTAAATTCAGAAGGCGGATGAAGAAGCTCAGAGGGAGGGAGGCTGCCTGGTGTTGTCAGGAATACAGCAGCTTGTGGTGAGAAAGGAACACAGTGGACAGAGCCAACGGTTGGCTGGCACTACCTGCCAGGAGAGTCTGTGCTCCACAGACCTCTGGGGCAGAGCCCTCAGTGACAGGCACCTGCCTGTCCATTTAGAAGGTCTCACTACAATGAAATGCATTCATTTAGCACAATTCTGTAGTGTTGACGACCTGGATTTTGCATTTCCATTTAGACCACACGACTAACTGTACCTCTCTTGATATTCTACAAACAGATACAGCAATGAGTCAGGAGAAAACATGAGCTCTGAATCACAGAGATCAGAATTAAATCTCTCTTAGCTTGGTTTCCTTGATTATAAGATAAGATGGTATCAATGAGTTAATAAAACAAAACATTCAGCTGAGAGTCCTCTATGTACTATGGGTTCAATATGATGGGGCTTTCCATTGTCACTATTGTATTTCTATCATCTGTTATGAGTTGATCTGTGTGCCTCAGCAATCATACGCTGAATTCTGAAATCCAGTATGTCCGAACACAGCCTTAATTGGTAATAGGGTCACAAAAGATGTCATCAGGCAAGCTGTGATGCGGTCACAGGGCATAGGGTAGGCCTCTGAACCAATAAGACTGGCATCCTTAAAAGGGAGCTAATTTGGACTCACAGGGAGAATACTGCACAGTGATGATTGGAGAGATCAAGGTGATGCATCCAAGAACTAAGAACACCACAGACTGGCAACCAGCCAGCACAGGCTCAGAAGAGGCAGGCCCAATCCTTCCTTTCAGCCCTCAGAGCGCACAGACTGGCCACCTTGCTTTGACCTTTAGCTTGCAGGGAAAGGGGTCTGTTTTTTAAGTCACCTGGTCTGCGGCATCATACCCAGGAACCAAAGCACACCAGGCTGCTTGTTTATTGCTGGTGTAATTCATGTTTTTCAAACTCTGTGGCTGCCTATTAGTGGATTCCAAAATGAATTTATAGTGGTTGTGTGTGCTTTTAAAAATGGAATTTTAAATGAACAGAAGCGATTAGAGAGCAATGCACTTGGTAAGGGATAAATATTGCTATATACAGCACTTTGTTAAGTAAACAAAGGTATGCATGAATCAGATTATGATGAAAACATAACATAAATTTGGGTCAGGGTTGGAAAAAAGTTGAGGGCCATTTTTAAAACCTAACTCTTGTTTTCTCTAACCTCAGAAGCTTTATCAATTATCATTTCCTTTGGGAAAGGAAAAAGACAACTGTGTAAGAGACATATTGACAGAGACAGTGTGAGACACTGCTCAAGTAAGAGGACTGTAGTAGTTTGAATGTAAATTGACCCCCATAATCTCATAGGGAATGACACTTTTAGGAAGTGTGGCTTTGTTGGAGTGGGAATAGCCTTGTTGAAGGACGTGTGTCACTATGGGGTGGGCTTTGGGGTTTCCTATGCTCAGAATACCACCAAGTGTCTCAGTCGACTTCCTGTTGCCCGCAAGATGTAGCTCTCTCAGCTATAGGACCACATTTACCTGAACACTGCCATGCTCTCCACAATGATGATAATGAGCTGAACCTCTGAAACTGTGAGTCACCCCAATTACGTGTTTTCTTTATAAGAATTGCTGTGGTCATGATGTCTCTTCATAGCAATGAAAACCTTAACAAAGACAGGGACCAACTGTCTTCCTGTCCTAGCTGAGCTAGGGGCAGGCCCAAAACAACTTCCCAACCTAAGAAAGGCTGCTGAACCCCAAATCACATCACTGTCCTTAAAAAAGTAGGGCTAGGTGTGGCATGCAGCTCAGCAATAGAGTATCTGCCTTCCATGTGTGAGGCTCCACTCCTAGCATTGAAAAGAAAGTTAAATAAATAAGTAAAATTAAATAAAGCTATTATATGCTTATAACCCCAGCTACTCAAGAAGTTAAGGATCACTTATGTCTGGGAGTTGGCAGCTCATTGACATTGCAAGATTGGCTCAAAAACAGGATCTGAAGGATATGGTGGTATTCCCAAAGGTAGTTTGGTTTTGTTGAAGTATAAGCACCAGGGGAGAAGGATGTTAGGAGATGAAGCTATAGTGGTGGGCTCAGGCCAGGCCATGAAAAATCCTGTGTGTCTTCCATTCAACACATACTTATTGGATAGCTTGTGCAGCTTTCTGGAAATGCCATCATGCCCTGTAGTACCCAGGGTCTCTCCTTCACTGCCTCCTCCAGCCAGCATGCCTTCCCAGCAATCCTCTTGCTAAGAGGAGGCTTCAGTCCCAACATCTCCTCAGTGAAGCATCCCCCTTTCCCGGAATCACTCATACATTCCTTCCTCAAATTCTATCACAACCTGTGCAAGTCCCTGGGTGGAAGCTATGTCATGGTGCCACCAGGAAAAGTAACAGTAAAAGCATATACCTGGAAGAGCAAATTTTACTCTGAAAACCTATAAACCCAAGCAATGTCATGCATGCAAAAACCAGGGTGTCCTCTCCTCCGAGCATACGGAGATACAAGATTTTGGTAGCAGTTTCAACTTGCCAGCAGCAATCTGGTATTTAGTACAGATTCCCCTTAATATTGTTAAATAGCGGCAAACGATACTTAAAAATAAATATAACTTGTAAAAGGGAAAGCATATGGCTTTTCTCAAATCAAGAAGACTATCTGCAGAGCCACACTTGCCAATTTTTGTCACAACCTTTGGTAACAGCTGATAACTTAGGGAAAGAGGAAAAGACAAGTTCCTTCTGAGTTTCCAAGTGCTACCAGTGTTTCAAATTAAGAGTCCTAAACATTTCTGATCCTAAACTATTTACCAGGCAGTGGTGGCCCACTCTTTTAATGCCAGCACTCGGGAGGCAGAGGCTGGCAGATCTCCGAGGCTGAGGCCAATCTGGCCACCTAGCTCCAGCTCCAAAAGGCATGTAAAGGTGGACAGAAAAAATCCACTCTACAAGTTGTTCTCTGACTTTCATCTGCATGCTGAGGCACAAGTGCCCACACACAGGGAGGAGGTCACACAGTAGGAACCAATAAGATAATTTTTTTTTAAATAATGAAGGTTTCATTTGTTTCCTGGTGTCAGTAAAAGAAACCTTTATATGAAAGCCATTTAAAATTTTGTTTGGTTTGTTTTATAGTCCAGGTTGACCTTGCACTCAATGTCCTCAGTCTCTTATATTCTGGGAGTAAAAGCTTGTGTTACCATGCCCACTAGAAACCATTTATCTACTAATTTTAAAAATACTACAGGGGATTAGTTGGTAGAGTACTTGTTTAACAGGCTCGGAGTCCTGAGTTCAATCCCCAGCACTGAACAAACTGAGCCTGGAAGCAGACTATCAGAAGAAGTTCAAGGCCATTCTCAGCAACATAGCCAAATTACACAGCCTAGACTACGGAAGACTACAGAACATAGCCTAGGCTACACAAGAGTCTGTCTCAAAATAATAAAGTACTATCAAGAATATTGTCATGTTGCATTACAAAAATCCATCTGATAAAAACCCATTAAAAATTCAGTTAAAAAAAAACAACAGCCGGGCGGTGGTGGCACACGCCTTTAATCCCAGCACTCGGGAGGCAGAGGCAGGCGGATCTCTGTGAGTTTGAGACCAGCCTGGTCTACAAGAGCTAGTTCCAGGACAGCCTCCAAAGCCACAGAGAAACCCTGTCTCAAAAAACAAACAAACAAACAAACAAAACAACAACAACACCCAAACAGAATGACAATAAAACAAACAAAACAACAAAACTGTAGGACAACTGTAGCATCATATTCCAGAAATAACAAAGTACATAGGTATCTTTGGCCTTTTGGGCCACTTATGATAGTCTCAGAACATTTTATATCTTCCAGAAATAAGGACACTTTATTGGAGGGTGTGAAGAAGGCTCCTATACTAAATGAGTTTCAATCCCCATGGCTAAGAGCCCTGCACTTGCTATGACAACCTGCTCAGCTTAGACCCCCCAAGGAAAGCCACACAGCCCTCCAGATTCTGCACCCATTTGCCATTGGATTCCTGTTGAACAAGGTCCAAGATGGAACTCTAGGTGCTTGTCAGAAAACTCCAAGACAAGAGTCTTGTGATCTCAGTTTCTTCAAAACACAGAATTGTTCTTGGACTGTGTTTACATACTCAAACGTAGCAGCCAGGGGTGAGTTTACTTCAGATGACTCATTATTGCTTGCTATTAATTATATGCCTCTATGAAAAAGCATGTTTTTGTCACGTGTAGCCTATCCTTGTGATTGTACACTTTACTCATGTGATTCTTAACCCTCAGAATATAAACTGTCTGATGCTCTGAAAAAAAGCTACTGCATGAGTCGTTAGTCTGCCTTATTTTTAGGCTCCATTCTCCCAGGTCCCTCTGCAAATTAGAGCAGTAAGCAGTCTCATTTAAATATATATATATATATATAT